ACAAATTAGTTTGTGAAAAAAATATTGCTGCCAATTATGAAAATGCTGCAGACTTTTACAACTTGGTACCCCAAGAGCATAGTCTTGGATCAAGGATGTAAAAGCCCAGAGACACACCTCATGCAACTTAAAATCTAGGGTTCAGTGTTACCCTCAGATGCCACAGAACTTCAAGACTACCTATCTACCTGTGTGTACATAAAGAAGAGATCCACTCTGATAATATCAGTAGGAGCACAATAAAGATATTCTGTAAGTCCATGTGTTTCTCCACTGTAGAATACTTGAAGTAAGTAATTGCAATAAAAATTTGGAAATAGGCCCCACTCCTACATTGGGATGCATTAGTATGGATTCCTGCAGAGTCCTCATTAAAGACAACAGGACACTGCATGGCCAGGGGTACATATAAGTGGATCACATTTTTGGATCAGTCATAATGACCTTAAGTTATCTTGTTAAGACACAAAAGTTGAATTAAAATATTATTAGTGCAACAAAGCCTGTAACTGTAAATTGCAATAATATTTTGTTTTATTAATATATTTACCAATCTGAATGATCGGAGAACTGATAGTCCTTCCACATCTGCAAGACCAAGTTCAATCAAACTAAGTGTTACAATAAAACTATCAAAAATATTCCAGCCTTCTTGGAAATAATAATAAGGATCCTTGGCAATTATCTTCAGAAACATTTCTGCTGTGAAGATCCCAGTGAAGACCTAAATTCAAAAGGCAATTTGTTATTCAGTTGGAAAATTTAAATTACCATTATTTGTGCAGATTTTACATTCCAGCTACATATCTTCAATGAGCATAATTTAGAATGGCTATTCACAAAAATTCTTAAATTCAAATCATTAAAATAATCAAAGGAAGGTCAAATTATTTTATTTAGTACTTTATTATTAGCGTTTAAAATTTGTTGCTTTAAAAAGAATGATCATAGTAACATCTTATACACAACTTCCGATAGAAACTCCATCACAGAACACATACGAAATCTTCTTTTCATTTGATTTAATTTTACAGGAAATAAATTACTTAAGCTTCTGGTTTATAATACAATTTTAAAACTATTTAGGGTGACTATACATCCCGTTTTGGCTGAGACAGTACCGTTTTTAAACCCTGTCCCGGCCATCCTGACTTTTCTGGCAAACCTGAGTATTTGTCTCGTTTGCTCTTGTCAACTGATGACCAGTTGGCAAGAGCAAATGGGACAAATGCCCAATTTTGCCAAAAAAGTGGGGTGTGACCCCTAGCGGGGCGCGGAGGAATGTGCAGGAGGGAGGAGCGGCAATGCCAACCCTGCACGAGAGGGAGGGCTCGGGGGAGTGGCTCATGCCAGCCATGCACGAGTGGGCGGCAGGTGGTCTTGGTTCAGCCCTGCATGTGTGGGGGTAGAGAGAGGCCTCGGCCTGCCCCGTGCAGTGTCCCGCTTTCCCTTCGGGAAAATATGGTCACCCTAACTCTGTTAGAATGCAGGCTCTTTTTTTCCACAGCACAAGCAATGCCCCCAATTTAATTTTCACATTATGCAATAGAATGCTTTCCAAGAAATTACATGCTACTCTGCCTAGAACACTATTGTTGGGATATTAATGACACTATAAAGATATGCTCTTATACAGCCTAATTTCACAAGATCTAGCAAGATCAACAATTTACATCAGGTGGGGATCTGCCCAGGAGTCTTCTCCTTGATTTCAATGCACATTAGATCGTTAACAGGATTATGATGGCATTTAATATTATAGGTAGTTTAGACATACTAACTTCATTTCCCATTAAGCTTTTGTAAGGGATATATACATAGAATAGATATGTCTTGAATGATTAATAACTACTGAGTCCTTCTGGCCCTCAACAATTAGAAAAGCTATCCATCTCTGTTTATTCCAAAAAAGGACCAACCTAGGAAGAAAATACAATAAAAATGGTTCACATCATGTGAGACACTTTGTCTAAGGAGCCTCAAAGTAGCCAAGGCAGAGCAAGGGCGGGGCCTCAGGGGAGGGAGAAAAGTGGGGCAGGAAGAGTGGAGCAAGGACGAGGCCTTGGGGGAAGAGGTGGAGTGAGGGCAGGACCTCAGAGGAAGGGGCGGAGCGAGGGCGGGCCTCGGGTGGAACGGGGGTGAAGCACCCACAGGGAAAAATAAAAGTCAGCGTACTTAAAAGTGCCTTAGAGACAAGTGCATCCTTGGAAATGTGATAAATATGTTAGGTACTAAAGAACTGAGAATTGATGATCATAAGTAAATGTAATGAGAAATCGTAGTAATTTACATTGTTCCTTGCTATAACTGCTGAGCTTCAACTCTAGACTGTGATAATTGCTTACAAGACTGTATTATGTGTGTAGTACACACCTAAAACATTTGTTGTGTCTACACTTGAGTGGTGAACTATTGATTGTATATTAATGTGGTTTTAAGTAATTAATAAATTGCTGGTTAGTTAAAAATAAGCAAGTGTCCTGATTTGAAAAATACTGTTCAAGTTAAAAGTTGACTTGAAAAGAATCCAGCATTAAAAAAAATTAAGCTTACACTCCCTGGATGCAAGGAAAAGGAGATATCCTATTAAATTCCATTCTATATTGACTAACCTAGTTTGTTAGATTTCAGCTTTAAAATCTAACTGGCACCTTGGCAAATTCATAAACATTGTCCCCCTTTCACACTTACACTTTGCAATGACATATACTATATCAAATCATATGATGTAGAATACTTTCACCAAGGAGACATTTCCTTGGATGGGAAACAAACTATACAATTCTAGAACAACACATTTTATGGTTTATCATGTGATTGTCATATAAAATGTCCTGTTCTTAATGCATAGTATATTATTTGAAGTATAGAGAATCAGGTTTTTTGTCTGCCTGCTAATTCTGCATCATCTAATCTTACAGCTATTTACATGTTCTAAAATATATTTCCTTCACATTGCAATAAATATGAATGATATTAAAGAAACACATTACATGAAATCTATTCTTGAAATAAAACAAAGTAGAACTGTAGGTTCAAGTGTTTAAATATGTTTATATGATCCAACCTCTTAATTTAAAAGCTTTAGAGCTGCAGAGAACCAACTGACAAACTTCTTAATTTATCTTTATCTTAATTTCTTTTCTATATACTAACCATAGCATTGCCAGGTTACTAACCAATCTGATGGTCATTTACAATTAGAAAACCTACTGAGATGCAATATATTAGGAAACTACATTTCCATACTGAAAATTGTTGTTTGCAAGTGTTTTAATATAATTTCTGGAACTACTACCTTTCAATAGATGTGCCCAAAGAAACTACGAAAAACCATATTTGTATATATTGACATGAAGAAGATGAAATTTAAACATGTCAAAGAGGTTTGAATAGATTAAATCTGAGATGATTCAATAGATTTGCCAAGTAATGTATTAAACAAAGTATTACTTTATACTGTTAATCTATATGTCTTGAGAAAGAATTGAAGGTGGGAGCTCCAAAAATTTAGTGAAATACAGACCTAACTAAAGGACAACTCAATTAGTTAAAAAAAAATGCACAGAAGAAATTCCTGCTTAAAGCTATAATACAGATATATCTCCTTCAAAACCAAACAAATAAGCAAAATAAAAACATGTCACAAGACAAACTGAAAGACTTACCAGGTTTCCAACAGAAAGTACATTATTGAATTCTTCAGTCATTGGATAATGTTCCATGGCCATAAATAGTGTATTTAAAACAATGCAAATAGTAATAGCGAGATCAACAAATGGGTCCATCACAACTAAATTGACAATATGTTTTACTTTTAACCAACGTGGACTGCAGTCCCAGATCAAGAAAATGTTTGCAAATTTGTACCAGCATGGTGGGCATTTCTGTCTTGATTCTTCAAGTTCTAAGGAAAAATGTGTAAAAAAAAATAAAATGTAAAATATCTGCATGCCATACTATACAGTGTCAAAGATGTCTTTGAAATCCTCTTGCCACATTTTCAGAGAACGGTGTAGCACAGCGGTTTTCAACCAGGAGTCCGGGGCCCCCGGGAGGGCTGTGAACAGGTTTCAAGGGGTCCGCAAGCAGGGTCAGTGTTAGATTCTCTGGGACTCAGGGCAGAAAGCCGAAGCCCTGTCATGCAGGGTTGCAGCCCGTGGCTCTGAACCCCACCACCCAGGGCTCAACCCAAAGCCTAGGCAATTTAGCTTCATGTTGCCCCAGTGGCGTGAAGCCCCGGGAAATAGCCATGCTTGCTACCCCCTAATGCTGGTCCTGGTTTTTAAAGGCAGAAAAACAGTTGTTGTGGGACTGGCGGGCCGTGGAGTTTTTACAGCATGCTGGGGGGGCCTCAAAAAGAAAAAGGTTGAGACTTCCTGATATAGCAGGTGTGCCCGTTAAATATTCATCTATTTGAAAACAAATTCTTATTTGAGCACAAAAACACGTACTTATGCAGCCATTTTGTGCACAGTAATATGGATTTTTGCATCTATGATGAGCTTTATAATAGCAAAATCAGTGCTTTGTGACCACATGACCTGGAATGGTCAAAAAACAATGACACAAAAGTCTCACTAAGTAATGTGAGACAAACACATTAATTGGGAGTTCTTTTAGTCTATCTAGAAATATTTCCTGATAGCATAGGTGCAGAAAGTAGAGGTGCGGGGTGGTGGTGGCCCTGTACCCCACTCCCCTGCCGCTGGCTCTGCACCTTGGGCCCTGTTCCCAGCCCTCTGCCTGGGCTTGGGTCCTGGCTGCTGGCCCCGTGCTCAGGGCCCCACTCCCAGTTCTGGCCACTGGTCCCACTCCCCAGCGTTGGCCCCATACCCGGCAGGGCCGGCTCCAGGCGCCAGTGAAGGAAGCAGGTGCCTGGGGCAGCCAATAGAAAGGGGCAGCACTCTGTCCATTATTGGGACGGCACATCTGGGTCTGGGGTGGCAATTTGGCGGCAGGTCCTTCAGTCCCTCTCTTCCTCTTCGGCGGCAACTCAATCTCTCCCATTCAGTCTTCGGCGGCAATTCAGCGGCAGCTCAATCGGGTTTTTCTTTTGTTCGCCACTTGGGGCGGCAAAAAAGCTGGAGCCGGCCCTTATACCCGGGGCCCCACGCCCGGCCCCCTGCTTCCAGAGCTCCACTTCCAGGGCTCCACGCCAGGCCCCACGCCCGCCCCCAGCTGTGGCCACAGCCTCAGCCCCCTTACCTCTGTCCAGGTCTCCCCCTTCCCAGAGACACATCCCTGCTCCCAGCCTCAGCTCGGAGGGGTGGGGCACGGACAGAGGTATGGGGAGCTGGCTTTCAGCACCCCCACTACTAAAAATGTTCCAGCACCACTGGTACAAAGGGACAATATCAGGTTAAAATATACATATCTAAAGTTATTGTTTTAGTTTCAAATGACAGTTTCAGAAGTTCACTGAAAATACACTAACATTTTAAATTCAATATTTTACACACCTTCCATAGTATTTGTGAGTATGCTAGCTATACTCATTGCTCTGTCTCTTTGAGCAGGGTCTTCCAGAAAATCCATAGAAACATGAAAGGAACTGGATCTTCTCTTTCTTGTTTCTGTTTCAGTAGTCATGCCCTGCAAATAATAATAATGGATAGGATCATCATCTTGAGTGATACAATAAGCAAATACTACATACACTGAATTTCTAAATTTGAAGGAATACATGCTTCATGCAATTTAATTTTTTGTTTAATTTATCATGCAAGACTTTTCTTACTTATTGTATTAACCTAGCATTTTCAAAATATATTAAAGAAATTTTCTCGATTGAATCACATCCTCCTGCACAGTCAGTTACTAGAAATCCTCAGTTCAATACATAACATATGAAGTTTGTGGGAGAGAAATGTGAAATTGAATAATTATTCAACAATCTAAATCTCAGTACCGTTTATGAGAAATGAGTCAAACATATTGAAACATTTGCAGATGTTTACTTCTTCTTATAAAACGTCTCATTGTTGTAAAATTACAAGGTATCCATCCAGTCTTAAACAGCAACAAATAAAAAAAGTCTGATTTAGTCATGCTTCCACATGCTGGTGTATTCCCAAGTACTCTAAGTGGACAACCTTGAAATAAGATAATCAAATATTTTTAGAGATATTCTGCTATCTGTATATACACATAGATTACAGCACATATGTGCACACAGACATTTTTGGTTTTGAAGGAGGGTGCATGAATGTGGTGCCTCCAATAACTGTTTAGTTTATTTTCTATACTAGAGACCTACATCAAAAAAGGGGGAAAAGCGCATAAGAATGAAAACATATATATGATAGTGCTGAATGTATACTGTTATTATATTGCAATGAGCTGATAAAGCCCAATGTTATCAAAATTATCTACAACAAATTCAGGGTTATACTGACTGAATTCATATGGTAACATTTATTATATACCCTTTCTATTCGTATAGTAAGTTGAAATCTTATCCAACGTGGCCAGATAGAGCTTTTTAATAGCTACAATAAGTTCTACCATATTTTTATGGGTATATAATAGACAAATACTTGCATATTAATTTGATATTTTTTCTTGTTAGCTCTGAGAATTTTTGCAGATAAATACTTAAATTTCAAACTTATTTTGTTAGTATATTAAAGGTATTACAAGATGCAGGAACATTCATAGCTTGGCCAGCCAGGATCATTCCTAAGGAATTCCATTCTGTAGAAAATACAGGCTGGTGCAGTAAGAAAATGCCACCATGCCTGAGCTATTTAAATCTTCCTTACATTGTCATCAGTAGCTGGTTTATCTATTATCACCTCTGGCAGAAGTTGTCCAACAGGCGACGTAGGAACAGATGGTCCACCAACCAGGGAAACTACTCCATTGCAATCTACAGTGCTATGCATCTTCCCATTCGCTGGAAACACCGCCAGCACCCTGGATGACCTACTGGCCTGACTAATGTTACTGTTGCGCCGTTCACCATGTCTGCGTGGCACAAAAAGAGAATCTCTTCTGCTATCATTATCTTCAAAAGTGCTGTGTTCATCATCAGCAAAGTCATTTTCTGATCCTATATCCCTTGCTCGACCTCTGAAGCTGAAAAGACTCGTTTTGCTGTTGCGCCTTGGGGAAAACAAGGAGCCACGAATGCTCAGCAAAGACTGTAGGAAAATAAAAGAATATAATTATTAGCTAACACCCTTAAATCCTATATTTTTTTAAATAAAAATGGAGTTAACATGTTGTAGAAGTTGTTTTCATAAATAAAACTAGTAATCTTTTCCAGGAACCAAATTTTGCTTTCAGATTGTCATATGCATTAATTTCACTGAACTCTCTTCGTAAATTTAAAAGCCACTATTCATGAATTAATATAACAAATACTGAACCTGAGCCACCCCAGCTCCTGATGAAGCCAATGAGATTTGTGAGTAAGGATCAATAACAAGATAACTGGTATAAAATAAGAATAGAACAGACATAAACATAGCATCCTCTACATATTTAAGCAAGACCTGGAAACATTAGTAAAATACAAATAAAATCCATGGATATACTTATGGATGAGTTCTATAAAATTTAATAGGAATGAAACCAATAGGGTTCCACAGCAATTATTCTAAAACAATCCTATAATATTGAACAGAGAATATATTTTTATAGAATTTTTAAACCAATTTATGGAATTCTATTACAGGGATATAATTCCCTATTACATATTATAGTCTGATTTACAAATTCTATAGAAAAGCTATCTGCATTAAATTCTATATGGATTTTTTCAAGGAGTTATCTATGTCAGTTAGGTAAAATTCTCTTGAAACACTGGCAACAATAAAGATAGATAGGATTAAATAAAAGTTCGGTGTCTTCCTTCTTCATGTAGTAAAGTCACACTGTTATACCTGTGATACTGCAACAGTTTTTTGAAAGCCCATGATGCTTCCAATACACTTTTCAACTAGCAACACTTTATACAATACCTGGTGGGGGGACGAATACTTTTTTTCATATGTCAATCTGTTCCCTTCAATGGAAAATCGGAAAGTTTTCTTTCTGATGCTGCCTTCCGATTCAGATTTTTGAAATTCATCTTCATCCTTCTCCTCTCCTCCATATTGTTCTTTCTGCTTTCTCTTCTTCCTTCTGTTCCTCCTCTCTTTAGCACTCTTTGAACTCAACTTTGACGCGTCAGAAGAACTTTCTGAGAGTCCCCCTATTCCGCCTTCTGCACTGGGATCTCTTGACCCAGCAGAGGCTGTTGCTACTGCCTGCCATATCACAATAAATACTTCTGTTATTAGATCTACCAATGAAAAGCACTTTAAGAGCTACATATCATCATTATTACTAGCCAGCACTCTAAAACATCAAACTTTTAAATTTCACTTCTAGAGAACTTTCCAGTCCAGTCTTTGGCTGGCGCAGACTTTGCACATTGAGACTTTCAGGTAGCTGTACTCTTCTCAAACATTTTCTCTCACTTCTTTTCTGTATCCTTACTGCTTGCTAAAGTCACAGAGTGTTTCCTATGGCATAACAGATACCCATTGCCTAAATATGTGCAGATTCTGACCATATCCATCCCCCCACCCTCCATATATTGCTTCTCTTCTTAAATTATAAGGTTTCCAAGGCATGTACTCTGCTGACTACATTGAATATGCTATGGAATACAAATCCTCAATAACAAACAAACAAATAGTATATACATTCTTTTGAAGTCTCCTCTAGATCACAAGGCTGGGTTGCTCACAGCAAAATGTTTTTATTTCCAGCAATGAACACCTCGGAGCCGGCTCTGTTCTTGAAGCCAGAGTGGGCCTACCCATTGTTATAGGGTACTTCATAACACAGGGCTCTAAACCCATTCTAAATCTGATGACCAATATCTACAGAAAACTCATCTGGATGCACTAATACAAGATTACAATATGATCAACAATTTAACTGATAAATACATAAAATCACAATGATACCTGAGCTGCTTCTTGTTGCTTTCTCAGCTGTTCTAGCATTTGCTGAAATTCTGCCTCCTTCTGCTCTGCTTCTTCCATGTTTGCTTGATTCTGCTCTTCATAGGCCATGGCAACAACAGCCAGGATCAAGTTAATCAGATAGAAAGAGCCCAGGAAAATCACCAGAACGAAAAATATCATGTATGTTTTGCCAGCAGCTCGTAGTGTCTGGAAGTAATAATAAATACAGCTTTATTAACTTTTTAATGTTACTATGTGAATTAATCACCTACTTTTCATTTTGTAGGAATCCATCATCTTCAGATTATATGAGAGATGTAATAGAATTGATATTAAGTTCTTTGTATAATTTGATAGTATAAAAATACTTAGTCTTTGTTCTCACCAGTTGATAAAGGTTTTCCCAGTAGTCCTGAGTCATCAGTCGAAACAGTGACAAGAATGCCCAGCTGAATGTGTCAAAACTTGTGTAGCCGTAGTTGGGATTTCTACCAGCTTTCACACATATATATCCTTCTGGACATTGACTACAAAAGGAGAGATATTAGGTGTTATCTTTTACAATTATTCTAATGTCAGTGGATGCGAGGTCCTGATAGAAGTTTGGGATTATGAAGTGCTGTTTTTGGTCAGTTCATCAGACAGGAACTCCTATCAGTTGGACATAGCTCTACTCCACAAAATTACATTTAAAGACAGCTGGAAAATTGTGTATAACATTACAATTCTGCAGAAGGGTATTTTCTATTTGCATTTTATTTCTTAGCAACACTTGCATATTGCCTTAATACCAAACTGTCCACTATTTAGTCAAACTCTAAAACACAATGTAAATTCCTTGATTAATAGTATTTTCACCTTCAAATATCCGTCTCCATATTCTTCACTCACCCTTGCAATAGCCTGATATTCTTCAGCAATCAGCACATATGAGCTGGGACCGTTGAGGAGTTTATGCCTTCCTAATTGGTACTTTTGTTACTTTTCAACCAGCCAGAAGCATGTGTTATTATTGGGTGTCTTTGAATTTGCTACCCAGTGAAGAATAAACTGACCTGTCCTGACCAGATCAGCTAGCTATGATTGGGAACTCAAGTCCAGGATCAGACATCTAGAATCAAATCCCAATAACACATCTAATGTGAAATGGCAAATATTTCATTCAGCTGGTCAGTCAAATTATTCCAGGATATATATCTGAATATGCTGCATCCTATTTCTACATAGTACAATAAAATGTCATGAAACATGTCCTTACCCTGCATCTGAGCCATTTCCACAAAGCAGAGCATCATTTTGCCCTTCCAGAACGTAAAAATGACCTGTTCAGAAAATAATTTTGATAAAATTGTAAGAAAATACTACATAAATCTTCCACTGCTACATACTGAACTCATTTAAACAATGTTGAATAAACCCAGTCCTTTACTTTACATGAGTAATTCTACCACAGACAACTTGAAGAGTTTTATGAAACATTTTTATGATAGTGGATAGTTTTTGACTGGTATGATTTTACCTCAGAGGAGTTAAGGGGCTGATTCCCAGAAGTAAGAACTAAACATTTACACATTTGAGCTCCAAAATTCCAAAATAATACATTTGACTAAAACAAAGTAAACTGATACATTATTACTACTGCTTTATTCACCAGAATGAAATAAGATTATTTTCACAATTCAACTATAAACCAGCATAAATGATTTCTTCAACATGAACATGAAATCAAAGTGACAATATAAATTGCCAGAAAATGAATATCTTTAATTTATACTGTCAATGTGTCAAATAGCATCTAGAATCCTGATAGATGCTGTTAGAGCTGAATGAATTGTACATTTTTCCTTTCAAATGTGCAATGAAACATTTAACATTTTGTGGAACTTTATTTTGTATTTATTTGTTTTAGTATACAGAATTTACCCTATTTTAAAAGATTTTGGCTAGCCTGATTTAATGAGACATTATTTTTTTGACTAGCATTACCGAGGCCTCAGCTGTTGCACCTACAAACAACTGTAGCTGTCAGAGGCAGCTAGTCATTAGAGACTAATAAGTTCAAGATCAACCAATAATTCCACAACTGTCAGCCACTCTAAACAATGTAGGTATGTTTTCATTGCAGAGTTAGCCTAGGTGACCAGCATACAGGTCTGCACACCAGGGTTAGCCTAGCCCTGGCATGAGCAGCCACAATGCAAAGCCATACTCAAGTTACTGTGTCCTCACAGGTGCTATACTCATCTGTGTGTGTCATATCCCATGGTTCTTTGTGCTACAGAAAGCTGAGCTGCTCTATGATTCTACCCAGTGAATTGTGGGAGAACTTGTCTGTCCTTTTGGGCACACAAGGGGATTGTTGGAAGGCAGTGAAGGACTATCAGCACTCAAGTGATTTAGCCTGCACCCTCAGTGAAAAGTGGGTGAGTTAACAGCCTGAGTGAACACAGAACCTGAGCTCTAACACATACCCCAGCTGTCTCAGCTAGGCCAGACTGAAAGTACCACTAAAATCAGTGGGAGATTGGGGTGTAACAAATATTATGGACACCTGGAAGATCCAAAGACTATTGTATCATCTTTATACATGTTATATGTATTTTTATGGGCTAGAGATTGTATTCTTGCTCCATGGGAAGAATGAAGGGATCTAAAGTAGATGTTACCACTCAAGAAAGAGAGCTTGGAGTCATTACGGATAGTTCTCTGAAAACATCGACTCAATATGTAGCAGCAGTCAAAAAAGCTACCAGAATGTTAGGAACCATTAGGAAAGGGATAATTAATAAGACAGAAAATATCATAATGGCACTATATAAATCCATGGAATGCCCACACTTTGAATACTGCATGCAGTTCTGGTTGCCACATCTCAAAAAAGATATATTAGCATTCGAAAAGGTACAAAAGGTACAGAGAAGGTCAACAGAAATGATTAACAGCTTCCATATGTGGAGAGATTAAAAAGACTGGGACTGTTCAGCTTGGAAAAGAGCTGACTAAAGGGGATATGAGAGAAGTCTATAAAATCATGAATGGTGTGGAGAAAGTGATTAACAGGCAGCAGGTTTAAAACAACCACAAGGAAGTACTTCTTCACACAATACAGTCAACTTGTGGAACTCCCAGGTGATGATTTGAAGGCCAAAAGTATAACTGGATTCAAAAAAGAATTAGATAAGTTCATGAAGTTCTTGGCTATTAGCCAAGATGGTCAGTGATACAACTCCACGCTCTGGGTGTCACTAGCCTCTGACTGCCAGAAGCTGGGAGTGGACAACAGAGGATGGATCACAAGATGATCGTCCTGTTCTGTTCATTCCCTCTGAAGCACCTGGCACTCGCCACTATCTAAAGACAGGAACCTGGGCTAGATGTACCATTGGTCTGACCCAATATGGCCGTTCTCATGGGGCAGCTACAGTTTCTTGGGGTAAAATTAATGAAAATTACTGGGGTATCATTAATGAAAATCCCTTTGAAAGTAACAAATCTGGAGAAGCCTCTTCCCAAAGGAAATTGCATATAAGGTTTGACCTTGTTAAAGAGACCTACCAAACAAAGAATTGAAAACTTATAAAGTGACCATCTTAATTGGAGAGAGAGGTCACTTTCATCCAATCCAAGAACTGACATGAGACTGTGACCAGAGGGACAGTCTCTGTAAGAGGATCTGAAGTACTTTAAACCTGCTAGGGCCTTCATGTGGAAGATGCGTGATACTTGGTAAGCTAGGCATGCATAATAGCTGTTTATTGTTTTTAAGATATGTCTTCTCTGTAATGCTTTTCCTTAGAATAAATAATACTTTGCTTTATGAAGCTGGCTGGCCACTGGTTAACCCAGTCATTGGCCCTGAAAGAACAGGATGTCAGGTGCTGAACTAAAGTCAGACCTGCTTAAGTGATCACAGTGAATTGCAGGAGGAATTGCAAAATCACCAGTCAAGAAGGAGCAGGACTCCACTCCAAGACAGGTGATGTAGGGTGCCTTCAAGGAGGCCATAAAGTGGTCTCAGGTGCAGTCACCTCAGGAATTGTGATGCTGGATAACAGCCTAAGCTAAATCTGCAGTGAACACCTACTCTGTGGAGTGTGTCTGATGGACACAAAAGAGCAGTACCACCTGCTGTTGCAAAATGTTTCCTGATGGGACAGGAACTGCAACAGTACATCTGTTGCTACTGGAAGAATTTTTGCTCTGCAGCACATAGACTGAAGGCAGAAGAAAATGGTAACAGAGAACAGGTTTCTAGCAGGCTAATTCAGAGTACTGGTCACATTGCACATGCTCACTACAGCCATAGTCCTTCACTGCTACTTTGTTTCTTCTTCAGGCTCAGCAATAAGTAAAAGGTGTATGTTTTTGACTTCTGACCTGATAGTGTGGCTGTCAGTTAGGAAGGGGATAAGTAGGTAGTGAGCCTAGGAAAGGGTTTTCTGAGTCTGGAAGGCTGTACATGTGTATGTGTGTGGAGGACCATCAAGTGTCAGGAACTTGTTTTTATATCTTATCCAAAAAGTGGCACCTCCAGAAATTCTGAAGATGTTGTCCATCTGGGCTTAAAGGTTAATAATAGTCATACAGGCACTAAGGATTTGGGTATGGCTCATTCAAAGGTGAAAATAAGTACAGAATTAGTTTTTAAAGAAACAAAAAGAGAAGATTAAAAGGAAAAAGAGAAAGGGCAAGAACAAGGAAAAAAAGACAGAAAGAGGAAAATGTCAGTACAGTGAAGTTGGGGTGAGAAAGACAGATGATGCAAAAGTGGGGAGAACATAAATGTAGGTGAGAAGGGAGAGAAGACAAAAATATAAGGGATAGCCAAAATTAACATAATGCCTTAAAAACTAAAGCAAACTAAGTGTGTAGCACAATTCAAAACTTCAGTTCATAATGAAGCCCTATTGCACTCATATACTGAGATTTTGGAGGATTGATCCTAAATGTTTGATTTCCTTCTCCAAAGATTTGAAGGGACACTTGTCAGGGTTGACGCTTGCTGAAAATCACATTTTATAGAATGTTCTCTTGGCACTGAAAAACTACCAACAACTTAGAAATAAAACATGCAGCAGTATTAAATCTGCTGCTCTGAAGCTTGGTGACTCATCCTACTCAAACCCAGGATGCTGGTATTTTTGTGATTTCAGAGATGCATGTGATGTATCTCATTTGTCCCCCACGCCCATACTTTTCTTGCCTGCTCTATTTTAAGAGCTTGGAAGATACTGAAATTGACACACATCCCATTGTGGTCATGCTGGCAAGCATTCTGCAATAAGAGATTCAAATATACAGCCCCATAAAAAACTTGAGTAAATAGGAACTGTGTGTGAATTAAAGAGATGGAACTGGACTGAGACCACATTTCACAAAGCCATTGAGTAGGCAAAGTTCGGTAAAGTTTTCTTTTCTAACCAATCTGTATGCTTATCACTTGTATACATTTCTTCAATTTTAAGACAATTTACTGATCTTACAGATACCAAAAAATTTGAAAAACACTAGTTTTTCACATCAGCCTGGGAACGAATTTAGAAACCATGTTTAAAATTTGTTTATAAAAAACTCTCACAAAAACAGTTACTAGTCTTGTGTGTACACGACCAAATTATGTTGGAACTATGTTTAAATATCATACAGCCAAACTGGTTAGAAATAGGTTTTCGTTGGAATCATACTTATGGAGAGTTTTAACAATCCACATTTGGGTTTTGGTCTACTGTAGATGGGGCTAAACAAACTTACTGAATCAAATGGAACAAAGGGATTGACTGGAATTTGAAGGCTTCCAGCCAGTCAATGCACCAAGGTAATACTACTTTCAAGGAGACTACTTATAAGAGTATAGTTGACAAGATTTAACTGTATATCAATCTTCTCTCAAATAAAGTAAATGAGAGTTGCGTGGATGAGTAAGTTTATTAGGTGAACCTTAATTGTTTATTACTTCTGATTGTTTAAAATTGTGACCATAATATATTACATTAACTTACAACTTTGAATATTTGATTCATATGTGAGTATGTGTACTACAAACACAGAATAACATTATTATGGTTGCAAAGTTAAGCACTCAAAAATTAGGAAATGGCAGAATTAAGGTTGTCTATGCAGTGCACTGTGTGTGCATTGTGATACAGACTTTAATTACATGATCACATACTATTTTTACCACAATGCCCATGCCGCACTCAGTGCACAAAATGGTTGGTGCTCACTTAAAAAGCTATTTAATATTTTGTTTTCTCCTCATTGCTTAATGTGTGCACCCAGACCTATTTACTGTATACTATTCAAACTGCACCAGATGGAATTA